TAGGGCTTGGAATTGTCCCCCTGTCTGCGCCCCAGAGAGCTGATACCTGTCTTTGTAGACAATGCTAGATGGGTCAGTGGACTTGGGCCACATTAGCGCAGTTAAAGTGCCATTATACCACTTTAAACTGTCCCCGCTTTCCCCCCAGGAATTATGGGAGCTGAGTATTGTTAGAGGACCCCCTTATTCCCCTCACAAAGCTACCATTCCCAGAGTTCCCTGTGATTCTGTGAGAGGAAATAAGGGTCTCCTAAGACGCGGGTGGCGCTGTGGGTAAAAGCCTCAGCGCCTAGGGCTTGCCGATCGAAAGGTCGGCGGTTCGAATCCCCGCGGCAGGGTGCGCTCCCGTTGTTCGGTCCCAGCGCCTGCCAACCTAGCAGTTCGAAAGCACCTCCGGGTGCAAGTAGATAAATAGGGACTGCTTACTAGCGGGAAGGTAAATGGCGTTTCCGTGTGCGGCTCTGGCTTGCCAGAGCAGCGATGTCACGCTGGCCACGTGACCCAGAAGTGTCTCCGGACAGCGCTGGCCCCCGGCCTCTTGAGTGAGATGGGCGCACAACCCTAGAGTCTGGCAAGACTGGCCCGCATGGGCAGGGGTACCTTTACCTTTACCTTTTAACAACTCTGAGCATCCTTAACAGACTACAGCTCCCAGGATTCTTTGGGGAGTTTATAGTGGTTTCGTAGCTTCCTGTCTTCATAGGACGGAGGCCTTAGCCGAATCTCTGGGTGTTAAACCAGCGTAAAAGGCGGCAGCATGGCTGAATACAGTGGTACCTCAGGTTACAGATGCTTCAGGTTACAGACGCTTCAGGTTACAGACTCCGCTAACCCAGAAATAGTACCACAGCTTAAGAACTTTACTTCAGAATGAGAACAGAAATTGTGCTCTGGTGGCGCGGCGGCCCCATTAGCTAAAGTGGTACCTCAGGTTAAGAACAGTTTCAGGTTAACAGACCTCCAGAACGAATTAAGTTCTTAACCCGAGGTACCACTGTATAGTTTTTTGAAGTTTCACAACCAGATTCCAGTTCCCTCCAGGGTTTCTTTCCGCTTGAGTTAGGGGCATCATGGCTAACATGTGCTTATGCTCTCTGTTCCTTACAGATGGTGCTCTCCCTTCTCCCTCCTCCCCCCGCAGCCCCCGCTCCCCCCGCCCCTCCCCACACGCCAGCCTCATCTCCAGGCCCCGCCCTTCTCCCGTCCGCAGCCGCATCGACCCCTGGAGCTTTGTGTCTTCTGGGGCCCGTTCCTCGCCAGTCCAGTCCCCTCGCCTGGGAGCGCGCCAGTTCAAGCCACTGGGTCCTGAAAGGACCAATCCTTTTGCGGCTCCCGATCCCTTTGCCTGTGGGGACTTCTCAGCCCCGAGGGAGCCGACAGCGCCAGCCACCCCTGACCCCTTCCTCGTTGCGTCCAGATTGGCTCCACCCGGGCGGCTCAGCCCTTCTCCGTTGCCGCGCCAGACCTCCCGGCCCCTCCCGCCCGAAGAGGAGCTGCCGTGGTGGACAGCAGCTGCATCCGCTCAAGGACGGACGGCCCCAAAGTGAAGGGAAAAGCAAAAGAAGGAGGTCCCGCCTTCCCGAAGCACCTTTTCGTTCAGGAAGTTGGCGCCTTGAACTTTGAACCCCACGCTCAACTGTGATTGGACATGAGGCTGCAAATGTAGTCGAAGGCTGGGAGCATGGGCTTGCTGTCGAAAGGGGAGACGGGAATCGCTGTCCAAGGGGGAGAGGGGGGTTTTCCCATGCCATAGGGGGGAGGTGGGCACACCCCCACACACCTGAGTACCTTCTTCCCTTCCTCCCCACTTTCCATTCACTGAGCGCCTTAACCTCAATAGTGTTGGGAAGACTTTGCTTCTTTCTCAGCCGATTCCTTCAGGGATGTCAAACCACGGGATAGTATTGAGTGCCCCACGGAAGTGATGAGGGGTTGTGTATATTGGGCAGGGGGTGGGGGTGAGGGAGAGCGGAGAGCCCTTTCTCACGCCCCTCCATGAAATGAACACTAACCGGTCAGACCCACGCTGGCAAGTCACTCTCCTCTCCTCCACCTTTGCTGGAATGGCTTGTGGGGCTTCCACGACCCCCGCGTTGGCCAGGCTCGCTCGCTGGCAGCTATTGTCTTCATTGCGTACTGATTCTCCATTCACCGTGAGGGGCACAGCTCCCCCTTTCCATGACTAGGCCTTAGTGGCTCTCTCTCCACTGAATGCAGGGGCAGGAGGTGGAGCAGCTTTGCCCAACCTGGAGCCCTCCAGGTGTTTTGGACAACAACTCCCATCATCCCATATCCAGTAAGCGCTGATGGGAATTGTAGTCCAAAACATCTGGCAGACTCCCAAGTTGGCCAAGGCTGGCATGGAGAGCCTGTGAAGCAAGCAAGACTCCACTCTCCTTTCTCTGTATCCTTTGTCCCCAAAATGGGCATCTCTCCTCCCGATTTATGCAAGGAGGGGAGCCTGCCATGGCTATCTTGACCCAAGCAGGTCTGAGGATGCTCTGCAGCATTCAAGAGCGAGCCACATTGCACAAACATGAGAGGAGAGAGCCCAGAGTGGGGGTACACACTGGAGCCAGATTGCCCCACCTGCTGGTGCCCGTCTTTTGATGTGGACGCGTAAGAGGAAAGCAAAGAATGTCTTGCAACGGGCTGCACTTGCAACGAAAAAGAGCAGTGCTTTTTCCTGGTTGGAGTCTGACAGCCACTAGCACTTTGAATGTGCAATTCTACTGTGTCCGCCTCTCCCCTCTCCCCACCCTACTTGAAATTCACATGTGAGTGCCAGGCTCCCTCGTGCACCTTCTCCCGCTCCACGAGGGAGCCACCTGTGTCAGGCCCAATCTCAACTTGCAACGGGCCAAGCCTGTGAAATGAGACCAAATAAACCTCTGATTGCTGCCTCCATCCCATGTGTCTCCAATGGTCCATAAAGGGGGTCTGCAACACCTCCCTAACAGTGGGTGTGGGTCAGGGTGAGAGAGAGAAAGAGAGTGCAAACTCCTTCCGTGTTTAATCTGGTGACTGGCATCTGCAAGAATCAAAACAGCAGCCTTGTCTTATTCCATACCTGCATTTGTGATAACTTGGAACTTCGGCCGCATTCCTGTTCAAAGCACTACGACACAACTTTAAACAAAATAATAATAATAATAATAAGAAGAAGAAGAAGAAGAAGAAGAAGAAGAAGAAGAAGAAGAAGAAGAAGAAGAAGTGGGTCTCTAAGGTGCTACTGGAAATATTATTATTATTATTATTATTATTATTATTATTATTATTATTTCAACTATGGCAGCCCAACACGGCTACCTACCTGTAACTAGAACCACTTTAAACAGTCATGGCTTCCTCCCACAAATAATCCTAGGAAGGGTAGTTTGTTTAGGGTGCTGAGAGTTGTTAGGAGACCCCTATTCCCCTTGTGGAATAACAACCAATCCCTCTTCACAGGGCACTGAGTATTGTAACTGAGAATTGGGAGGGGAATAGGGGAGTTCTTTAAAAGCAGAATGTTAGAAACTCGACTGGAGTGTATGCCACAGGTCAAGAAAGGTTCCAATAGGGCTGTGTGGTTAAATATTTTGTCGGAGGAGGGGGCGAAGGGACCTCAGCCCCTAGGAGTTGGCTCCTATACCCTAAATGACAGCTGGTGTACTGACCCTGGATTTTATCCTGAGTGATGCCCAGGACCGGACACAATATGTATTGTCAAGCCAATTGGGAGCAGTGACAATAATACCATTGGCATCCATCTGTCTTGAGAAACAATGGAGTGTGCTTTTGGGGGTGAAGTCAAACTGCTGCTTTTAGCAGCCTTGAAGTGACGACAAGATCCCCACTCCCGGCCTCATGATGTGGTACAAAGGAAATCAGAGCAATACGTTCGGCACCAGCTTGCCAGAAGGGGGCGTACAATGAGCCATCTGACCGTATTGGAGAATCTGAATTTGTGTAAGGTTTACTCCTTAGCCTTTTCTTCTCCTGAAGGTATTCCATAAGGCAGCAGAGGTTTAAGAGCAGAGTTTACTTCCACCTAGGTGGGCTACCTCCCCAGGTTGACAAGCCCCACCTGCCCCTCTTAACACTATTAAATATCCATGTAACTGTCCAGTTGCCAAGAAAATCCAACACAGCCATGTTTGATTTCAAAAGAGGAAAGTTCCTCAAAATGAGGAAATTGGTTAAAAAAGGAAGTTGAAGGGCAGAGCCAAGAGGGTAAAATCACTATTAAATGCTTGAAAGTTGTTAAAAACGGAGGGGGTGAGTGTGCTAGCTACCCTACCCCCCAAAAAAAAAAATCACTGCCAAAGGCAAGTTAGAGTGACAATATGGCCTTGTAGACTCCAATACACAAGGAGGCATGTTTTATAACCATGATTTTCAAGGGTTCTGAAATACACAGACACCCCACCTTGACTACAGGACCCCCACTCTTCAGAAGATCACCCTTCTACTTGTGGAGGTAGGTCAGAATGGGGGGGGGTAGCACACTCGCCCCCTCCATGGCATGTTCTATATAGTAAAGGTAAAGGGACCCCTGACCATTAGGTCCAGTCGTGGCTGACTGGGGTTGTGGCGCTCATCTCGCTTTATTGGCCAAGGGAGCCGGCGTACAGCTTCCGGGTCATGTGGCCAGCATGACTAAGCCGCTTCTGGCGAACCAGAGCAGCTTACGGAAACGCCGTTTACCTTCCCGCCGGAGCAGTACCTATTTATCTACTTGCACTTTGCCGTGCTTTTGAACTGCTAGGTTGGCAGGAGCAGGGACCAAGCAACAGGAGCTCACCCCATTGCAGGGATTCAAACCACCGACCTTCTGATCGGCAAGTCCTAGGCTCTGTGGTTTAACCCACAGCGCCACCCGCGTCCCTATGTTCTATATACTAATGCAAAATGCATGAAAAGTACTAATCTGTGAAGCAGCAGCAAAAATGGCCAGTGTGGTTTTGGACTGCATTAATAGAGCACCTCCTTTGTGTGTAGACACTCCCAGGTTCAATCCCAGGCATCTCACAGTTAGGTCTGAAACTGTCAGCCGGCCAGTGTAGACAACAGAGAGAGATGGACCCGTGGATCTTGACTCCTGCTTCCGATGTTCTTTAAGTGACAGGAAGCAAGAGTTCTGCTAGTCAGACCTCATCTAGAACACCGTGTCCAGTTTAAGACACCTGGAGATGCGAGGAAATTGATCCTGAGACTTCCCATATGCAAGGCTCTTTGACTATAGTGGGGAAAACACTAGCTGGCAGCAGCTCTCGTGGTTTGTTTGTTTGCCCAGCGCTACCCGCAGAAGCCTGGGATTGAGCCGGAGACCTCCCTTCCCCCGGCCCAAAGGGGTCCTTTTTGCTCTTCTTGCGTTCCTCTCTGGGCATAGAAGCGCACTCTCGCTGAGGATGGATGCCATGAGTTGTGCAAAGTTAGACGGCGCGCCCGGGAAGCCGAGCTGCGAGGGTTAAAGCAGCTGTGCGTCACGGGGGAAAGGAACCGGTTGCCGCGCCCTGGGCTGAGGCGAGCTCACCTGGGACAGGTGAGAAGAAGCTGCTGGCTCGCTTGCTGGGAGAGGGAAGGGCCGGGCCGGGCCGTCGAGGATGGCGCTGTGTCCGGCCGTGCCGCCGTCGTGGCGCTACGGGTTGCTGCTGGGCGCCTACGGGCTCTTCCTGCTGGTGGGCGCCGCCGTCTTCGCGGGCCTGGAGGGGCCTCCCGAGCGAGCCCTGCTGGCCGCCCTGCACGACGCCCGCGCCCGCCTGCTGGCCGAGCACCGCGCGTGCCTGTCGGAGGAGAGGCTGGCCGGCCTCCTGGAGCGCCTCATCGACGCCGGCAACTACGGCGTCTCCGGCTTGGGCAACGTCTCCGGAGACGAGAACTGGGAGTTCACCTCGGCGCTCTTCTTCACCGCCAGCGTCCTCACCACCACAGGTAGGTCGTCGAGCTCAGCCCGGGGGGGCATCCCTTTCCTTTTGGAGCGGCGCAGGCAGAAAACCAACCGGGAGAGACTCCAGCTGCCCATGGCTGCCCAAGCACGCAGCTCCCTGATCCAGCCTCAGGCTGTGAGCAGCAAGGATGAAGGAACCCTCCTGACCGCCCAGCTGTTGGGAGGGGAGCCACTGTGGTGCAGCTGTTACAGGGTCGGACTAGGACCTGAGAGACCAGGGTTCAAATCCCCACTTGGCCATGAAGCTCGCTGGGTGACCGTGGGCCAGTCACTGCCTCTCAGTCTAACCAACTTTGCATGGTTGTTGTGGGCATTGAATGGAAAGGAGGAGAACCATGTACACCCCTTTGAGCTCCTTGGAGGAAAAGAAGGGACAAAAAGGCAAAATCAATGATGCTGATGCTACAGAAGAGCCACCTGCCCCATGCCTGGCAGTGGCTGGCTAAAGTCCCCTGCAAACAAAAGTCTTTTGCTCTCACCTGCTCCCTGATCCTTTGAGCTGGTGATGTTGGGGACTGAACCTGCAGCTTTCTGTATGCTATGCCAAGCACTCTGCTCATTGAGGTTCCTTCTGCATGGCAAGCTTTGCACAGAGAAACATCCCTTTCATTTATTTACCTAATGGTAATTTAAAGGCATGTTGGCCATTTATGAGGTATGTTGTTATAGTCTTACAACACCTTACAATGTCATACAAGCAAGCAAATTTTTTTAAAAAAAATAAAACACCCCAATCTAAACCAGAAGATGAAGTTAAGGTAATGCATCAGAAATCCCTGATAAACATTCGTGTAGAGGGGAATATATAGTTTATGCTAACCAAAAAGCCTGGCCACTAATAAAATATAACTTATTAAGGGATTAAGTTGTTGGTTAGGGTTAAATAGATTGAGCAATGCCAGCACTGGGCATTTACAGGTATTTTGCATAGTACTGTAATTGCTTTTATTTCAACAAATACTTCCTCCCAGAACTGAGCCACATGTGCATGTCCACCACATACATTGACTCAAGCCTTTATAAACAAAACAAAAGTATTATCAGTCATTTATATCTTGCCAGGACTTTGCAATCAGTGTAAACATAACGTGGGCATAAAATGTGCCAGCATTAAAACTGAAGAGCAAATACAAATGCCAGTAAAAACCAAGACCATAAATAAAAACAGCTGCGTGGAGAAGGGTTTCCTCCACTGGATAGCTCAGCTGGCTAGAGCATAGTGTTGATAACGCCACAGTTGTGGGTTCGATTCCTGTATGGGACGGCAGCACGTTTCTGCATTGCAGGTGGTTGGACTAGATGATCCTCAGGGTCCCTTCCAACTCTACAATTCCAGACCCTCCAAGTGTCCCTATTTTCCAGGGACGCCCCTGATTTAGAGAAGCCATCCCGGTTTGATTTGATCCTGGAATGTCCCACTTGGAATGTCTAAAGTAAAGGTAAAGGTACCCCTGCCCGTACGGGCCAGTCTTGACAGACTCTAGGGTTGTGCGCTCATCTCACTCTATAGGCCGGGAGCCAGCGCTGTCCGCAGACACTTCCGGGTCACGTGGCCAGCGTGACAAGCTGCATCTGGCGAGCCAGCGCAGCACACGGAACGCCGTTTACCTTCCCGCTGGTAAGCGGTCCCTATTTATCTACTTGCACCCGGGGGTGCTTTCGAACTGCTAGGTTGGCAGGCGCTGGGACCAAACGACGGGAGCGCACCCCGCCGCGGGGATTCGAACCGCCGACCATGCGATCGGCAAGTCCTAGGCGCTGAGGTTTTACCCACAGCGCCACCCGCGTCCCCTTGGAATGTCTACTGCAGACTAAACATAACCAGACTAAACATAACCAGCTCTATTCCACGCAATAATTTGTTTCCTGGACCCCCTCACTTGCCTGGCTGCCCTCCTCTGGACGTGCTCCAGTTTGTCAAGACCCTTCACAAAATGTGGTGCCCAGAACAGCACTCGCGATGCAGCCTGACCCAGCCCAGAATAGGGTGCCACACTTATTTCTCGTGATCCTGCCTAACCATGTGTATCTAGGAACATGGCCTGATTCCAACTCTTAAAGGCAGTGAGCCATCAGGTCGCCATGGGCTAATAGTCATGAAAAGCCTTTATTATCCTAGAGGGCACGTTAGATTCTCAGTGTCAGGATAACGCAGAACAATAGTACACTGCATTACCGTTCCACAAAACAAATTAGAATGGAGGTTGCTCTTTCCTGCCTAAAACACACCCATTTTGTGTTCCTTTTTCAAACTGGGTACATCCATGGATGAGCTTTGTTTGGACATGTTATTCCGCCTTTCCAGAAAACATGAGCAAATACGTTCTTTGCAAATTATGAGCAGAGTTCCCAATCTGTTAACAATCCATAGAAACGGTGGCCTGGGGTGGCACCTTAATCACGTGCAGAGGTCAGGGAATAGCATTTTTCCTGTGCCATAATGCAACTTCTTCTGCAAGTGCTGATCCTTAGATAGCCAAAAACTCTATCACACTCCTACAGAAGGATGGGAATCGTGGTGCCAAGCAGGTGGAATGCCCCTGGTTGGGGAAGGCGACTTTATTCAAAAGAAAGAACTGGGTGCAGGAGATGGTTGTGTTCAGAAAGTACAACTGGCCATTGGTGCCTGCAATCCCCTGTGCTTTAGCCAGCACAGTTTGGTTTCATGGTGGCATCAGGTAGGCAGTCCCACCTCACCTGCGAAAATGGTCCAAGAGGCTTGGAGGAAGTCAGGATCCGGCCCACCAACCAGCTCCAGCTCCCCATCCACAAAGTACAAAGGGGAAATGAGCTTTCGTATGGCAGTAGAGGCGTTAAAATGTGCCCCATGCCTTATACCAGAGTTACCGTATTTTGCGCCCCATAGGACGCACCGGCCCATAGGACGCACCTAGGTTTTTTTTTTGGGGGGGGGGGAAATAAAGGAAAAAAAATTATTTCCCCCCAGGTGCGGGGCTGGAAGAACCAGGTTGGGGAACAGCGGGAAGGCACGCTCCGCCTCCCCGCTGTCCCCCGAGCTTGTGGGGCTGGCGATGGGGAGAAGTGCACTGAGCCCGGGACTGGAGGCAGCTCTGCGCAGCCATCGGGAGCCGGGCAGGACTTCGCACCCCGCTCCCGATGGCCGCGCAGAGCTGCGCTGAGCCCGGGACTGCAGGCAGCTCTGCGCAACCCTTGGAGCCGGTCTCCCAAGGGTTGCGCAGAGCTTCCTGAAGCCTAGAGAGTGAGAGGGGTCGGTGCGCACTGACCCCTCTCGCTCTCCAGGCTTCAGCGAAAGCCTGCATTCGCCCCATAGGACGCACACACATTTCCCCTTCTTTTTTGGAGGGGAAAATGTACGTCCTATAGGGCGAAAAATACGGTATTTATTTAGTTTGTCAAAAGTACTCACTGCAATCAGCTGAATGCAACCAGCCATGCTCTGGGCTCCCCAATCTCTCTCCCCTCCAATGAAAACTAATAAATGAATAGATGAACAACCTATCCACGTGACACTGATGCAAAACCCCTGCAGGGATACTATGCAAAAGAAGGAAAAATCATTACCCCCCCTTCTTTCTCCCACCTCTCTCTCTCTCTCCACATGTTTTCTCTTCACAATGCCTATGATAGCAGTATCTTACACCAAACGCAACTGACCTGTAGATAGGGGTCTATGAACTCAAAACAGAGAGACTATATGTACCATATGTACTATATGTACATCCCAATCCCAAAGAAGGGAAGTGCCAAAGAATGCTCCAACTACCGCACAATTGCACTCATTTCACACGCTAGCAAGGTTATGCTTAAAATTCTACAAGGAAGGCTTAAGCAGTATGTGGACCGAGAACTCCCAGAAGTGCAAGCTGGATTTAGAAGAGGCAGAGGAACCAGAGACCAAATTGCAAACATGCGCTGGATTATAGAGAAAGCTAGAGAGTTCCAGAAAGACATCTACTTCTGCTTCATTGACTATGCAAAAGCCTTTGACTGTGTCGACCACAGCAAACTATGGCAAGTTCTTAAAGAAATGGGAGTGCCTGATCACCTCATCTGTCTCCTGAGAAATCTCTATGTGGGACAAGAAGCTACAGTTAGAACTGGATATGGAACAACTGATTGGTTCAAAATTGGGAAAGGAGTACGACAAGGCTGTATATTGTCCCCCTGCTTATTTAACTTATATGCAGAATTCATCATGCGAAAGGCTGGGCTGGATGAATCCCAAGCCGGAATTAAGATCGCCGGAAGAAATATCAACAACCTCAGATATGCAGATGACACAACCTTGATGGCAGAAAGTGAGGAGGAATTAAAGAACCTTTTAATGAGGGTGAAAGAGGAGAGCGCAAAATATGGTCTGAAGCTCAACATCAAAAAAACGAAGATCATGGCCACTGGTCCCATCACCTCCTGGCAAATAGAAGGGGAAGAAATGGAGGCAGTGAGAGATTTTATTTTCTTGGGCTCCATGATCACTGCAGATGGTGACAGCAGCCACGAAATTAAAAGACGCCTGCTCCTTGGGAGAAAGGCGATGGCAAATCTAGACAACATCTTAAAAAGTAGAGCCATCACCTTACCAACAAAGGTCCGTATAGTTAAAGCCATGGTTTTCCCAGTAGTGATGTATGGAAGTGAGAGCTGGACCATAAAGAAGGCTGATCGCCGAAGAATTGATGCTTTTGAATTATGGTGCTGGAGGAGACTCTTGAGAGTCCCATGGACTGCAAGAAGATCAAACGCATCCATTCTTAAGGAAATCAGACCTGAGTGCTCACTGGAAGGACAGATCGTGAAGTTGAGGCTCCAATACTTTGGCCACCTCATGAGAAGAGAAGACTCCCTGGAAAAGACCCTGATGTTGGGAAAGATGGAGGCACAAGGAGAAGGGGACGACAGAGGATGAGATGGTTGGATAGTGTTCTCCGAAGCTACAAACATGAGTCTAACCAAACTGCGGGAGGCGGTGGAAGACAGGAGTGCCTGGCGTGCTCTGGTCCATGGGGTCACGAAGAGTCGGACACGACTAAACGACTAAACAACAACAACATATGTACCTTTGTTATCCATGAAAATATTCAATAAAAATAATTTTTAACAACAATATATAGCTGATAAGTGAGCAAAATCCCTGAGCAGAAGCAGGCCAGCTTTGGAGGAGCAGGTTGCAAACTGCCCAAAGTCATTGCAAATGCAAAGAGGGGAGAAAGGGCAATGTGCCCATTCGATCCAGTGTTGCCTATTCTGACTGGCAGCAGCTGTCCCGGCTGCCAGGTCCTGAGAATTTCCTTTCCCCATCGCTGCCTCCCTGCTCCTTTGAACAAAGTCAAAACTCCTGCATGCAAAGTGGGACCGCTGTCACTTAAGTTATGGCCCTCCGGAATGACGCTAAACATCAGAAGAAGGTGGTGTTGGTGTTTTGGGGCGACAAATGAATGGTGCTTGTTCCTCCGTATTTTATACTTGTAGCTGAGGATCAGCTGGGCAAAACCAAAAGCAGAAAAGGCCCCACCCTCATATGACTACAGACGCAAAGATAACACGAGCTGGATCAGTTGCCCTTTAACATACTTCAAAATAGTTCTGCACACACAATCAGAATGATTAATGTCTGGAATTGCTCTCTCCAGGAAGGAGTAAATCTGCAGTTTGGCGTCCTCCCTGCACTGTCAATGGAGCCTCAACTGGCCTTGGTGGCTAGAGTGCCTGTTTTCAGCTCTGGCCGCTTCACCAGAGGGACAGTCCCAGATTTACAGAAGCCATCCTGGTTTTCTGATTTGATCCCAGAATGCCCCCATTTTCCTTAGGACATCCCTATTTTCATTGGAGAAATGTCAGAGGGTATGGTGTTATGCGACTCCCAAGCTAAGGAACTAAGAAACTCTACAACCTTTAGAAGACATCTGAAGGCAGCCCTATATAGGGAAGTTTTTTAATGTTTAATGTTTTGTTATGTTTTTTATATATGTTGGAAACAGCCCAGAGTTGATGGGGCAACTCAGTCAAATGGCCGGGGTATAAACAATCAAATTATGATGATGATGGAATAGGACGTCCCTATTTTCATTGGAAAAATGTTGGAGGGTATGAAAGACAACTCGGAAACTTCAATTGGTCCAAAATACAGCAGCCAGATTACTGGTTGGTGTCCTCTTCAGATCTCAGATAGCCCCTGATTCAAAACAGCTGCATTGGTTTCCCGGCCTCATTCAAGGTGCTCACATTAATGCCTTCTCTGGGGCAGCCCCTAAGTTGTGGAACTCTCTCGCCACAGAGATGCATCTGGTGAATTTGTTATCCAGCTTTCATTGAACACTGAAGACACACCTCTTCATCCTGACCTCTGGCCTCTTGACACTGTATATTTTAGGAGCCACCTTATTTTTTAATTTTTGTTTTTTTAACTGTTTTTAATATTGTTATAGGGTTGCTATATGTCTGCAATTTCCCGGACGTAGCCAGGATTTGGCTGTCGGAAACAGTGTCCAGGCGGAAATTGCATAACTGTCCCGGACTTCCCATGTCGGAAGTGTAGATTTTGTCTAATTTACTTAAAATAGCTTCATTTGTTGTTGTTGAGATTTTTCAATTTTTTTAAAAAAAGCTCAACAGTTTTGTGACTGTTTGAAATGCGGCAACCCTAATTGTGCATTATTGTGTTTTAATATTAATGTTGTTTTTTAATTGTTGTAACCTGCCCTGGGGCTCTAGAGTGACGGGCAGGTTATAAATTATTGTTTAATAATAATAATAATAATAATAATAATAATAATAATAATACTTTTTTAAATGGCAGGAGATGCAAAATTGTCTCTAGCCTGTCAGCAAATTGCATAGAGAGACTGTTATTATGCCAGTTCATTCTTCCACAATAAAAAAGCTCAAAAACACTGACATCCTGGAGTTAATCCAGATCACCCTATCTGGAAAATTCACCATACCGACACGCCTAGACTAGTGCTCAAATTACAGAGGAGGCCAGAGCGGCCCATCCCATTTTGCAGAAGACTTTTAGAAAGCTACAGGGAGGCAATGATTTTATTACAACCAGAAGAAGCACTTGGTGTGATGGTCTCTGACATACCATGCATTTAAAACATCCTTATCCCCAGAGATGCAGTGGCCGGGGGGGGGGGAGTCAGTGGTTGGGGAGGGTCAAAGGCACATTACTATTTCTGCAGCAGGGACCCTGCCATCACCCTAGAGCCACCAAAACAGTGCGAAAGGGGAGCCCTTTAGCCACTAAGAAGATGCACTCCCATTCATTGTGCTGACCTGGAGCCAATCAAAGTGAAAGGCGGAGAATCAGCCAGTGAGGATTGGCTCTTGGGTCACTCTGGAGAAGGCGCATAGGAAGAACATTGAGGTTGCCTTGTTCTGTGTGCTCCCAAGCTAAGCATTTAGGAATACTGAAAATGCAAGGGGCTTCTGTTTCAAGAGACTGGCGTGCAAATTCTGTTACGTACAACGAGGAAAACACAACGCGAGTCAATCTGACATGGGCAGCTGCCCCCACCCCAAAATCAATCAAATAAATAAAAACACTTAAGTAAAAGTAGAAACTATAGAAAGATTTTGACAGATTTTTCTGAGCACTTGGGTTCAGAAGAAACAACTTGTTGTGGCATTTTGTTCCAAATCTGCTAGGCAGAGGATGGTCACAGGTGGGTGTCCTGCCCGCCACCCAGAATCAATCCTGGCTGCACCCATGCACTTTGAAAGCAGATATTGGTGTGCTCCAAATCATTTCCACCAAACATAGCAGATCTAGCTGAAAGGCAACACCTGGAGCTCTATCCTCATTCTGTGAGACGTCGTCAGAATTCAAAGACACATTCCTACCAGGAAAAAAGCACCCAATGGAAGGTGCAAAGAAGTAGGGTATAGCCTAGCAGGTGGGTCTGGCCTGTGGGAAGGCAGGCCACATAGCGGAGACTCATGCAGCGGCGCCTGTTCCTCTCGCCCACAGGTTATGGACACACGGTCCCCCTCTCGGCTTTGGGCAAAATATTCTGCATCCTGTACTCGCTGCTGGGCATCCCCATGACCCTGTTGCTCCTGGCCTGCCTGCTCCAGCACCTTCTGCCCCTCCTCAGCCACCGTCCCGTCCGGTACATCCAGACACGCTGGGGTTTCCCGCTGGCCCGCGTGGCCCTTGTCCACGCCATGGGGCTGGGGCTGGCCACCCTGGGGCTCTTCATCCTCATCCCTGCCATCTGCTTCTGGGCCCTGGAGGGCAGCTGGAACTTCCTGGAGTCGGTGTATTTCTGCTTCATCTCCCTCAGCACCATCGGCCTGGGCGACTACGTGCCGCGAGGGAGCTCACAGCCGCCTCTGCACGAGCTCTACGAGCTTAGCATCACTTGTAAGTCACTAGGCGGCGCTGCTGCACACTTATTAATTATTATTAATGTGTAATTATAAGATCACTGTTATCTTCTTAGTTATGGAATCTGAGAAGGGGACATGGCTGTTCCCACCATGAAGGGACTCTGCATTTCTGAACTTGCCATTGCACTACTGGTTGGGAATAAAGTGTTAAGGTTGAAGGTTTAGGCTTCAAGGAAAACTTCCTTCCGAGTCTCTCTCTCCCTCCCTCCCTCCCTCTCTGATCAGGCATTTAAACTAGCCAGAAGCTGTTCAAATCCCCACTTAGCTAATGGGCTCGACCAAGCTGATGGGCTCAGATTCCTGCTTTGTTTGTAAAATGGAGACTATCGACCTTCCACAGCATTTGAAGCAGAAGTGGAAGCAACTTTCACAATGCACTTTTTGCAGCGGATGTGAGCTAGAACGTTGTTGTTGTTGTTGTTCCGCCCTTCATTCATAAGAGTTCAAGACTGAATCAAATGCAGGATAAAAATAAGTAAAAAAGTAAAACCAAACAGCAAAACAATAACCTCCCCCTTCCCACAGACACATTTAAAAGGGTATAAAATATTAATCAGCCCAAGGCCTGGTTGAAGAGAACGTTTTCGCCCGGTGCCTAAAAATATATAACGAAGGCGGCAGGTGAACCTAGATGCAATGTTGTCTCTGCCCCAAATGGCTTACAATCTGGACCTCCATAGCAAACGTGGGGTTTGAGGTAGGGGAGACATGGGGATGCTGGCCATGAGAGAAGCAGTCAAGAGGGTGGGTAGGTAGGTGAGGCATGGGTGGGAAGTCAAAGGGAGAAATGAAAGGGGAGGCAAGGTACGAAATATTGTCAAATGGGGGAACTGAAACAATGAGGACTAGTAGCTTGGTTTCCTGTGGAAAGGGCCTATAAAGGGGGGCATCGTAATTAGGAAATGCTACGACCATGCCCAAGATCAGGTGGGGAGATTTTTTAAAAAAATAATAATGCTGCCCCTCCCTCACTGACCTTTATTTTCACACACACACCAGGCTATCTCCTTGTTGGCTTATTGGCCATGCTTGTGACTCTTGAGACGGCCTATCAGCTACAGGAAGTCCGGGCTTTTGTGCGTTTCTTCGCTCCTGCCAGTGACCCACCCCAGGAGGACGATGACCGTCTGGAGATCTTGGCCAGAGACCAGCTTGCCTTGGCCACAGTGTCTGGTTCCACTTCCCAAGATGTGCCTATGGAAAGAGGTGCCACTTGACATCTCCTGGGGGGAGCCAACCCTCCCCCAGTCACCGTTGGTTTTAATGGGTGTCTCTGTTGATGGATGCTTTACTTGTCTTTATTTACGTTCTTGCTATTTTATTGTATTTTATTATATTTGTATTGTTGTTGTTGTTGTTGTTAACTGAACTGCTCCAAGCGCCATTTGGCAGAAAGGCAGGGTGCAAATTTAACTGATGTAAAATTTGCACCCTAGTGAGGAAGATTACATTTGATAGAGAAGAATGCAGAGAGGAAGCAAAGGCTTTGCAGCGCACGGAGAAGCCACAAGTAGAAAACCCATATTTCCTCTAGGGGGGGAAAGGGAAAACAAACAGCAAGAACTGTACCCTCTCCTCAAATGCAGCACTTTGTGATTCTGTGGGATGACTCCATTCAAGCATGGTTGATCTATGTCCAATCGCTCTTCTAAAAAGGTGAATCCAGGAAGCAGTGCAAACTTGACACCACCTCCTAGACTCACATAGCTCTCCTTCGTTCTTTCTCGGTCCACATTCACAACATAAGTAAAAAGCACCACGATGCCACTTGGCTTCCCCCAGAGAATTCTGGGAGCTGTAGTTTGTTAAGGGTGAAGAGAGGAGACCCCCATTCCCTTCACAGAGCTGCAATTCTCAGAGTGGTTTATCAATCAACCCCTCTTCCCAGGGATGATGAAAATTGTAGTTCTGGGAGGGGAATACAGGCCTCCTAAACTCTGAGCATCTTTAACAAACTACAGCTCCCATGATTCTTTGGGGGAAGTCACAGCTTTTAAAGTGGCATCTTAGTGCTTTAAGTATATGGTGTGAATGTGCCCCCCCACTCAGCACATTAGAACCTAAGAGATGCAGTAGCCATGAAAATCCCTCAACATGCATAGCTATTAGGCTGCACCACACATAGTAATTTTTAAAAGCTTCCACACATACAAGGAAGGAAAGCTGTGGTTTGGATGGGGAGGCCTTGTATGCTCCTCCCAGTCGATTTCGAGATGTTTCCCACTCTGGGTATGTTTAGCCTGGAAAAGAGGAGACTGAGAGGAGATATGAGAGCCATCTTCAAATATCTCAAAGGCTGCTGCATGCAAGAGGGAACAAGCTTGTTTTCTCCTGCTCTGGAGGGCAGGGTTTGAACCAATGGCTTAAAGTTGCAAGAAGGGAGATTCTGACTAAACAGCAGGAAGAACTTTCTGACAGTAGGAGCTGTTCTGACAGTGGAACGGTCTCCCTCGGGAGATGGTGGACTCTTCTTCCCTGGAGGTTTTTAAGCAGAGATTGGATGACCATCCGCCTGGGATGCTTTAGCTGAGATTCCTGCATTGCAGGGGGTTGGACTAGAGGACGCTGCCAACGATTCTGTGATGATGCTGTCCTTCCACTGTCAGAGGAAGGTGTAGTGTGGAGACTGCTGTTGTGCTCAGGGCCTGCTTGTGGGCTTCTTGGAGACAGAAGGCTGGCCACTGGAAGAACAGGGTGCTAGGCTGGATGGGCCTTTGGTGTGATAAATCAAGGCTCTTCTTTTTATGCCCACTACTTTCTGGAGGCCTGCATCACAGACAAGAACCATTTTCAAGGACCACACTCCCTTTGTGGCAGCCTTCCAGGGACCACATGCCAGAGGTGGCGCAGGACCAGAAGCAAAAGCAAGCCAAGCAACAAATGCAAATTTTACCTTTGTACGGCAGGTGAGTTTCTACATTCATTCCTGTATCCACCAACCAGGAAAGCACAAGATGTTAGCAGAGTTTGAGAGCATTTTCCTGTCTAGCAAAACACTAGGGTGAAAGCCACAGTTGAGAAGAGCATTTGTAGCCTGGGCAGATTCCAAAGGGCCAAATGCAGAGGCCTCGAGGGCTGCATTTGGTTCCTCGGCTTCAGGTACCTGAACAAAGCCGGTGCAGTTATGTTTATCTGGCTGTCAAAAGGGTAATTATTCTGGCTGCATGAGTAAGTCAAGGCACTTTATGTATCGTTGTCAGCAACACTGGTACTTAAAATATAAGAATATATTTTTCCTATTCTTTTTTTTAAAAAAATATTTTTACCCCACCCTGAGGTCCTTTGGGAGGAAGGGTGGGAGAACTAAATAAATGAGTGATGATTTTGGAAACCACCCAGAGAATGTTGGGTTTGGGGGCAGCACAGAAAGGCAGTTAAATAAATAGTCTGTGTGACTCTTTCAGAGGAGGGCAGTTCCCTTGCAGCAATCGGTGAGGGTCGCAATCCATTGGCAGAGGAGAAAGAGGGTTAGAGTAATGAGTTCTCACTTATTTATACAGCTTACACAGTCAATTAGAACAAAGATGAGATTAGACAACGAGTGGAAAAAAGCTGACTGATTCTAACAAGCCAGGAGCGAAAACTGGAGGTGGTACAGCACACTTCCTATAAGTATTTGCTCCTGCCTAGTCAAGGGACAAGGGCTGTTTCCCAACCCAGTGCCTGCATGATGCCAGAAATAAACGCCCCTGCCATCTCTATTGCCCCTTGTCCTCTTTCCCATATTCTCTACCCCATTTTCTCTGATTCCTGCTTATTTATGTACCTAGTAAAGGTAAAGGGAGCCCTGACCATTAGGTCCAGTCGTGGGCGACTCTGGGGTTGCGGCGCTCATCTCGCTTTATTGGCTGAGGGAGCCGGCATTTGTCCACAGACAGCTTCCGGGTCATGTGGCCAGCATGACTAAGCTGCTTCTGGCAAACCAGTGTAGCGCACGGAAACGCCGTTTACCTTCCTGCCGGAGCGGTATCTATTTATTTACTTGCACTTTGACGTGCTTTCAAACTGCTAGGTTGGCAGGAGCAGGGACCGAGCAACAGGAGCTCCAACTGTTGCGGGGATTCAAACCGCCAACCTTCTGATCAGCAAGTCCTAGTCTCTGTGGTTTAACCCACAGCGCCACCCACGTCCCCATTTATGTACCTAATTCCCTTTATATCCAGTCTTTCCTCCAAGGAGCTCAAGGTAGTGCACATGGTTCCTATCTCCCTGCCCACCAAACATTTTTCTTCATCCTTTTGACAACTGTGAGGTAGATCACACTCAAACCGGGAATGCCAACCTTTTTAGTCCAGTGGGCACATTTGGAGTAAGTTAAGGGCCCCCTCTGTTTGCTTCTCCTCCCCCTCCCCCTACAGAGTAGGTGCATATAAACAAACTTAACTTTCCCCAAAGGATCTGTGTTAAAGGCGTATCCAGTAATTTGAGCCCTGAAAAACATGCCAAAGTTCAGAAGGAAGTGGGAAGGAAGTGGGCCAAAGTTCAGAAGGAAGTGGGAAAGAGCCCCACTTCCTCCTTCAGCAATAGGTACTTTTCGAGGGAGAAAAAGGTAACCAGCCTCACGACCTCATGTCCAAGGGGCACTAAGTAGCAGGTGGCATGCTCAGAGGTTTTGTGAGCACCACAGGAGGACCTCAAAAGTGTCGCATATTTTGGTGACCCCCTGGGCTAAAAGGTGCTGAATGGCTCAGGGTTACAGAGTAAGCTCCACAACCGACTAGGGATTTGAATCATAGTTCCTCAGACCTTTGTGCAACACCGCCATACCTTTAGGCCTTTGTTCTGATAAGCCCTAGGCCTTCCTGCTTACTTTGTTCTAACAGCATACAGCATTTCCTGTTCTTTTGATACCCCTGCCAAGCTCTCAGTTGCCACACGGAAGGGGACTGTTCACCAACGTTCTATAGCTGTACCTCACAGCAAGTGTTCAAAGTCTTTCTGTGACAGGAGGACAACTCAGCCAATGGCCACAAAGCAGCAGGCGATTTCCAGTATGTATCGCGAACACACCACAAACTACCTTCCTCACGCACCTTGTGTCTTTTGATGTATTTATTTCAAACTCTGGTACAAATTTAGTGCAAATAACCAGGGAGGGACTGGGCTGAGGGGGAGGTGCAAAACTGGGGGGGGGGGCAGAGGGAAGTTGGCCACTGTCACATCTGGCTTTAGGAGTATTCAAGGCACTTTGTGGCTTTTGTACCATCGACCAACAACAAACATTGATCATTAAAAAATAATAATAATAGAGCCAAATAAACTTCGTAAAAACGGCAGAGGTGGGGAGGAGGCACCCGTTTTCAAACCCAAAAGAGCAGCTCACATGCATGTGCACGCACACAAAAATCACACACACACACACACACACACACACACACAAATAAATATCGTTCCTAAAATTTGGAGAGTATAAATTTGAAAAGCTGATTTCTTCCCTCTCCAGGTAAACCAGGGTACATGGGCACTGCCCTTTAAAAGTGGCATCTTCTCTGGGGAGGGCATGGACATAGGGTAAGAGAAAGAAAGAAGAGTTTGGACGATCTCCCTTGCCCCAGTAGGGGAAAACAAACAAACACACACACACACCCCTCTTTGGCATGAGCAGTCAAGCAGCTGCGGCCCCCCCAGAGGACTGTGGGCAATGACGTGCTCCAGCAAGGCTGTGGCATGGCAGGCGAGGCCCTCCCAATGGCTAGTGGGGATTTAGGGCTGGGGTTGCCTTTGGAGTGGCAGAAGTGCTCTCGTGTGCTGTGCCTCCTGCCATCCCATGTATGGGGGAGTGCGGGGAGAAGAGGCAAGTTGCACCAGCCCATCTCAGCTGACACGGCACTTCTCCTTGCGGCTGAGCTTGTGGCGTCTCTGCTGCAGTCCCCGTTCCAACCGGGCATCCTCTTCCAGAGCTCTAAAGTGGTGTTGGAGGGGGGCAGGCGGAAATGGGGAAGAACAACAACAGAAAAGCAGCATTAGTGGGTAGAAAGTAGAGCCACGTCACCGACAACAACTGACTACCTTTCAAGAGCCCTGCTGGCCAATGGCCCATCTAGTCTAGCATCCTGTTCTCACAGTGGCCAATCAGATGCCCCAAATGGGAAACCAACAGGCAGGACCTCAGTGCAACAGCGACTCTCCCCACCTGTGGTTTCCAGCATTCACTGAACACAGTGAACGCCATTTCTGAGCAAATGTGATGCAGAGAGGATCACACTTTTTAATCGTTGCGCCACGTCCATTTAGCAGCAAACTGCCATCCTTCTGAACATTAAAGGTACCCCTGCCTGTACGGGCCAGTCTTGATGGACTCTAGGGTTGTGCTCCCATCTTACTCAAGAGGCCGGGGGCCAGCGCTGTCCGGAGACACTTCCGGGTCACGTGGCCAGCGTGACATCGCTGCTCTGGCGAGCCAGAGCCACACACGGAAACGCCGTTTACCTTCCCGCTAGTAAGCGGTCCCTATTTATCTACTTGCACCCGGGAGTGCTTTCAAACTGCTAGGTTGGCAGGCGCTGGGACCGAACAACGGGAGCGCACCCCGCCGCGGGGATTCGAACCGCCGACCTTTCGATCGGCAAGCCCTAGGCGCTGAGGCTTTTACCCACAGCGCCACCCGCGTCCCTTCTGAACATTAGCCTTCCTCAACTGGCAACCATCACCTTAAAAGACAGAATCTGAAGAAGTGTGCATGCACACGAAAGCTCATACCAAGAACTAACTTAGTTGGTCTTTAAGGTGCTACTGGAAGGAATTTTTTTGTCTTAAAAGACATGTTTCCCTAGGGAGGCAAGTGTTTTGTTTTGTTTTTAGAAAGGGAGCAAGAACTTGAAGTTTCAAGAGGGGTGGAATTACGTTTGTCCTTCACTCGCTAACATTTAACCCCTCCAACCTGCTTCGAAGAAAACCAAAACCAAAAAGAGAATTGGTTCCATGAAATCAATGGAAAAATCAAGGTTCCAGTCCTTACTAGTTTGTAAAACCCTCTCATCCTCCACCCTGATTTTTTAAAACAAATTATTTTAGATGTTCCATTCAGAAACAAACTCTGGTCTCCAATGTTTACATTTGACTGGAACATCAGTGTTTACTGGTGGGGGCAGGGTAGGGCAGGGCAGGGCAGGGCACAGGCTGACACAATAGCCAACCTACTTCAATGAAACGAGTCTCTCTAAAAGCTGGCATGATATCCAGGTACCTCATCACCCCTATTATCTTACTATTCTCATTTCTATACTTTAAAATATGCTCAATATTTTAAGAATACTGTATATTAACTCTTCTTGTCAATACAAGT